ATCAGGAGTCACTAATAAATACTAATCCCTTCCCCACTCAGGACATATCACAGTTCCACGTGGGCTTCAGACATCTCATTTGATAGGGTTTTCTTGGAGGGGTAAAGGAGAGTGTCACTGAGGCTGTGGAAAGCAAAAATGAGACTAGGGGTTGGGGGAAGCATGGGCTCCTGAGCAAGCTCTGGGAAGGTGGGACAAAGGATCCATGTCATTAGTCCCCCAGCTGGCATGAGGTTCCATTAGGCACTTCCCTGGCTTCCTTGCTGCCATAAGGCAGCACAGTCATTTGGGAGCACAACTTGTCAGGAGGCCCATGGCATGGCTCCTCGGTCAGAGGGTTTGAGCCAAGGCAGGCCCTGGGCCACGTAGCCAGAGTGCAGCCTTTCTAGCCATCCCCCAATCCCACTTAGGATGCTCAGGGTCAATGGAAAGATCTGATCATTCAACTCACACATGGTGCTAACACGATGTGCTACCCTCATGGGATGTGCCTGCTTTTCAAAGGACATTTCTCGCCTAATGGTGGGATGCCAGGCTCTCCGCAGAGGGATAAAGGAGATGGCTTTGACCTATGGACTCAGGACCCTGTGAATGAACCACCACAGGTCCATCCCCATTGACTATTCTGCCCTTGCAGTTACATCTTTTCATCTGTGTATTCAGCAACAAAACACACTTCTGTTCAGAGTAATAAACGTAAGGTTCTGAAAGCACCATGGGTCATGGAAGTACTGACCTATTGCTACTTACCATCTGCTCACCTGAACCCCTGAGACTGTGGAGGGAGTAATTTAGCATAAGGCCTAGAGTTAACAGGGTCTGAGCCCTTTGGTACAAGGACTTTGTACCAAAGCACTTTGTGGGTATTAAATAGCTTAATTCTCATAGTGACCCAGTGGAAAAGAGGATCATTTTATCTCTTCTCTCTTTTAAAGGAGAAAAAAACGACGACAGAGAGGCCAAATGACAGACCCATGGTCACCCATCTAAGAAGTAGAGTGGTAAGACTTAAACTCAGGCTTCCTGGACTCAGAGCCTGCAGTGTCCTGCATGGGGCAGTGACATGT